CTGTACTAAAGGAATCAAATTATAATTTTAAATTACTTTTAAGGAGACTTTTAGGTTCTAACTTTCATAAATGGACAAAGAGCAAATCAAATATTCCTTGATCCATTTACATTTCTGCTTTTCAGGCTACTACTTTGGGTGGCTAGTCCCATGACCCACTGACTACATGTTGTAACCAAAGATTTGATTGGAAGGAAAGTCTTCCTATCAAATCATGATAGCTACTGCTTGCTGTTGTTTATTTTGTGCTGTACCCCATCTGAGTGCTTAATGCACGTTACCTCATCTCACCTTCACAAAACCTCTGTGAATGAGAAGATACAATAATTCCGTTTTGCAGATGGGGAAATGGAAAGAATTCCTGGTAAAGATACCTGACCAAGATCACACAATTTATAATGGTAGAGGTGGGTTTCTCAACAATTTTCTGATTCCTGATTTGTGCTGTTCTGCCATGGTTCCTTGTCTGTTAATGTGTCTTGGTATAATGCCCCAATAAAAATGTAAACATAAAAACAGGAGCCAATTATTACACATGAAGCCAATTATTTCCCATCTCTTTTTTTTTAACTCCAAGGAGTTGATCATTTTAGCTAGTCAGTGAAGCAAACAACCACTTCAGGAAAAGACTCTAAGAATTGGCAGGGAAAGAAATATGTCTACAAATGGGGCACTGGATAGCATGAGTCACTGGGCCCTGGTCAGCAAGTGTACAGTGTTATAAAAACAACTGTCTTAGAAAAAATCTTAATATTTTGGGGTCACAGACTTTTTAAAGTCCATATTCATGAAAATTTGCAATTTCAAAGATATTTTGCAATTTCAAGCAATTTCGAAGAGTTCAGGGTTGCCTAAACTCCCAGACATGGACTCTCCTATTAAAAACTCCTCTCCAGAGATTAGAAGCCTGGAAAAGATAAGCACATTTTAGGTAAAATTTATATTACTGTTTAGTACCAGATTTATGAGGATTACTTCACAAAGTCATAATAAATTTAAGTGGTCTCTTTCTTGAAAATACTTTTTTTTTAAGTTGCAAGTTAAAAAATAGTAACATCTTCCTTGCAAAGATGTTAGCAAATATTAGTTTGCAAATTCTCCATAAATTCTGAAAGATAAAAAGTCCCTTTGGATTTAGAATAAAGCTAAAGTCCTACTTGATTCAATTAGCAGTGAGGTAACAAAGAAGGCTGTTATAAAGCCAGGCAAGAGGCCTATGAAAATTTATATGGCTGCAAAATACTCTTAGGCATTTCAAACAAAAGTGATACCTTGATCTTTCACCATCTTCAAGTTAAAGGAATTATAGATTTCTTCATTGTTGATGCAAAATGCCTGTGGAATAGTTACTGTTCAACATTTTGTGCAACTTACCTTGATGAGTTATGATAAAAAGATGTTCATCATGGATTTTATTTCCTTTTATTTCACTTTGAAGTTCCTGTGCATTCAAAACTTTTTCTAGCTGTAAACAAAAAGAAGGAGGAGAGATTTTGTACAAGCTTCCAGTTATAAGATTTAAGAATTAAGTTATAAAGACTTATTGTATAGCATAGTGATCTAAGTTAATAATACAGTATTATATGCATGAAAGTTGCTAAGAGAGTAGATTTTAAATGTTCTCACTACAAAAAAGATGGTAATTATGTGATGTGATACAGGTGTTAGATAATGCTATAGGGGTAATCATTTTGCAGTATATAAGTGTATATTCACTGACTGTGCACCTCCATATTGTAAAAATCACCATGTTGTGCACCTTAAATTTACACAATGATATTCATCAAGGTTGTATGTTATATGTCAATTATATCTCAATAAAGCTAGAAAGAAGATTAAAAAGAAAGACAGATTTTGAAATTGCAAACCTTGGTTTTTGTCCACTTTAATAAGAAGTAAAATACAATACTGAAAAAGTCCCCAAATTCCCAACTTCTCAGGAACTGACTTATTTTCTTTTAAGCACTTAATGAGTCTCATAAAGCATGAGCTGAATTTATGATTTTTATTCTTTTCAGAAGAAATAATATTTGGTAGGATTTTGTCATAACAAGTGCTGTTACACTCCCTGAGAAGTCATATCGCTTCAATTTCTTGAAATGAGTATGATAAAGGCTCAGTAACTTGCTTAGTAGAACATGTATCTTCCATTCTTTTCAATCCTAAAGAACTTCATTCTAAGATCTTAACATTCTTTATCATCTCATCCTTAGAAAACCATTGATGAAGGATCAAGGGCTCTATTCATTTCACTTAAAAAACATAGAAGACAAGCAGGCTAATATTTATCCCAGAATAATCTCCAAATACCTCGTTTACAACATCCCTCTTTTATTTACTAATGATTTCAAGAAAACATGTGCCTTCAATGTTTCTACTTTATGATAAGGGATTTAAAAGATAAAATTTTTTTCTAGATACATTTGTAATTGTCTGGGTTGGAATTTAGTGACTATGTCTTATTTATACAAGTTGTGCAATGCCTGCCAGTTATCTACCCTTTATCTTATCATTTATATTCTTCTGCCCAGATTCTGCAACAAACCTGGCTTTTGCTGTACATTTGTGGGAGAGGTGAATTTTCATAGAGGAGTCTCTAGAATTGTTCTAACAAAAGTTGGAAAAGCATGAAGTTATATGAAAGGAGATATCGTTAGGTCCAGAATACTATTTGGTGACTGAGGAAAAAAAAAAAAAGAAAACAGCGAATTTAGCCCCTAACAGTGGAAGCTAAACACTGTAAGGACTCTGTCACTTACATGCAGATAGTTCCCATAGATAAGACCTCCTTTGCTGGCTCTGTTCATGCCGGTCTGTGATTTGTCTTCTTCATCGCCTTCTACAGAAAATTTTTTAAAAGCATATCTGCAGATTAATTAAATGAGAAAAAAAAATAGATCTTGAGAAAATCCACTAATACCATGAGTCATTAAAATTCTCTCACTACCAAATTTGTTAAAAGGAGATTATTAAACAAAGGAATAAGGGTGACAGCTTTCAATACTCTTGAACTTCAGAAATTAAAGTGTTCATATTTGGCAATTCTAAGAGCCCAGCCATAGTACAGAAGTAAATACTCACCCAAAGTTGTTTCCTAAAAATGGGCACCCACTCATGGTGAAAAGCACTGTCTGAGAAGCACCGAGGTTTGCCTCTAGACAGATGATACCACGGCCCTCCCCAGATGTTCTACAGCTGCCTTTTATATGCCCTGCTCACCCTGCGCCAGCCAATCAGCCCGCTCTGTGTGCTCTTAGCTAGGATCTCATTTCAATTAGTAGGGAGGCTGAACCTCTGTAAACTTTAGAGTGATTTATGTTGGGGACAGTTTGTTTGCTAGACAAGTGAGCATTCAGCCAAATGAAATCATTTGGCTTGCCAAACTCTGCTTTTATATCCAGAATAACAAACATCAAGTAAACCAATAGAGGCAAAGTTTTTTAAAGATGACATTTAATTATCTAGTCCAAGAACACATTTAGCATAGTATTAGGATATATAAGATAACAAGCTTGTTAAAAATAAAAATTTTTCTCTCAAAGTGTCAGATTTGGATATTCTTATGACTCTTAAATCAAAAACTGAGTTTGAATGTCTGTGGGGAAAGAAATGTACTATATAAGAGAAGCAAGGTGCATGCTCAAACCCTATCCCAACCCATTCTCCCAGTTCCGGCCTACTCTCATACAGTTAACTGTTGTACTGTATTGGAACTTAAGTGAACATTTTTCATTTATAGTTCCCCTATGGCATACTAAGGTTTACAGGGCAATATGAGTCATCTATATTAGGCTAAGTATGTCTATAGATAACTTTAAAACAATAATAATGTGCCCACAATTTCAAACAATGTCAGTGATAAAATATTCTTCCTGGAAAACATTACATATTGGTCTAAGGAATGCTTACAGATAAACTCATATTTTATTTCCTTATTTCCTTATTTATTAAAGACCATGAACATTACAAAAATAATTCCATTGATATTTAAATATAAGTTGTAACAATTATAAACACAAAATCGTAAAAGCTGCTTTTGTTCAGTATTAATGGTGTAATAGGTCATAAAACTCCAATCAGTGTTTAACATTCATCCTTTCCCAAGTCAAGCATAAGGTATTGTCACTTAAAACTTGTCAAACACAGCATGCTTTTCACTATATTCTTTAATAGAATTCTTTTAGGTTAGTGTGCTATTTGTAAGTGAGAAATGGTTAAAATTGTCTATATAGTATGACTTGTATAAAAAAACTATGATAAATATTCATGTATTATATAATTTTTTTAATTTTTATACTTGATTTATATGTGAATCCCACATTTCTCCCTTATTATTATTATCATTATTTTTTTAATAAAATGCTGAAGTGGTAGGTAGATGCAAGATAAAGGTAGAAAACATAATTTAGTGCTGTAAGAGGGCAAATGTAGATGATCAGGTCTGTGCCTATAGACTATACATTTTATAATCAACCAAATAAAATCAATAAAATGATGACAAATTTAGGTAGTGTAGCCATAATATACAGTTTGAAGCCTATGAAATTATTGTTTGTAAATCAGAATGGTTGAACATCAACAATTTCATATGGTTCATTTTGTTGTAACTAAAGTCATGCTTAATACTAAACATAAAAATATTATTAATGGAAGTTTCAAGTCAAATGCTCAAAAAGATGTCTGTTTTTTAAAAAGGAAGAGGGAAACAAATTCTGATAACACCAGGATAAACTTATGTCTTTAAACATTCAACAAAACCTTCAGGATGCCTGCCCTTACTAGCAGAAAACCCAACCCTTCACACCCTTGCAACAGATTGTGTAACTTTCAGATTTCATTTCCCATCACTTTCCACCCAAACATTTCATAATAAGTCCAGAACAAGGAGACTAAATGTTGGAATCTCCTAAGTTCTTAGAATGACCTCCCTGTCCCTCTTCTACTGAACTTCTCACTCATTCCTTAAAACACATTTCAAAGAGCACTTCCTCTGGCATGCTCTCTCTGCTACCACTGGGCCAAGTAATTTCTTCCTCTTCAGTGGTTCAATAAGACTTTGTGTTTAAATTCTTAGCACTTACCACACTTCATTGTTATCATTGCGTTTTCTGCCCAACTTGTTCACTAGGCTCATTGCTTCTGGGCAGTGGTACCGAGCGTTCTTGCCCTTGACTCTTCTGTACCTAGCACAGAGCAGGTGAATACGGACATGACAAACGTTTGTCAACAAAAGTGGATCTTATCTTTCTATCACTCCTTGTTCAGCACAGTCAAAGCTGAATTTAAAAGCTTAGATATCTAGCAGAGAAGTGTTACTGACATATTTAGAAACATGAGAAGGAATACACATGGACAACCTAGGTCAATAAACATAATCTATGTCAGTGAGCTTTGTTTTAGAATTATGAAGCTTAGGTACTGTGGATGGTATATTTACACTTAATCTTTGGACACAGGCAGGTCAGTGAGTCAAAAACTTACTGTAACTTTCTCAGTAAAAGTTGTTCAGGTCAAGTTAACTGTCTTTTGAATTCTGATGAGTCCAGAATTAAATAGATCACTCCCAAATAATTGGTCAATGTTTATGAAATGATTTGCAAAAATGGAGAAAATTCAGTAACAAGGATGGGGAAATAACTAGGTTTAGGTTTTTATAATGTCTACGCTATGCCAGACACTGTCCTAAGGCTATTCTATAGGTTCATGCATTTAGTCCTCTGAAAACTGGGGCCTTATATACTGGTAACTGACAGAGCCAGAATATAAACTGTGGACTCCCTCACTCATAAGTCACTGTTCTTTCTCCCACATAGTCTGTCTTGTAATTCCCAACTGTCAGTCTTAAATGACATACTGTGAGATAATAGAAAATACATGTATTGGTTTCTGCCCCTGGTTCCTAGCACAAAGTTCCAGAAACCCTTGTAATTTCCTAAGTGATAAGAGTACTGGGAGCATCTTTTGTTCTAGTATTTGGTCTTTGACCCCAGTTTCTGACACCCTGTAATTCCCCAGGGGATAGGCATGTCTTTTGTTCTAATCTAATGAGGCAACTTTAGGCAGGTTCCTGGGTGGCTCCTGACTGACAGACGGTCACCAGAAAGAGCAAGTCCTGATTAGAAGCTTGGAATTTTCAGCCCCCACCCCCCATTCTCTTGAGAAGAGAGAACAGCTGAAAATGGAGTTAATGATCAGTCATGCCTACATGATGAAACCTCCATAAAACCCCAGTGGTTTGGGGTTTGGAGAGGAGCTGAGAGTGGTGCCCTCAGAGGGCATGTGGGAGCCCTACGCCATTGCCCTCATACCTTGCCTAATGCACCGTTTCATCTGGCTGTTCATCTAGATTCTTTATCATATCTTTAACAAACCATTAAGTATAAATAAGTGCTTTCCTGAGCTCTGGGAGCCATTCTAGCAAACCAATGGAACTTCAGGAGGCAGTCATGGAAACCTCTGATTGGTGGTCAAATAAGAGAGAAGTTGTGGATGATCTGGGGCAGCTGAAGTGACTGGCATCTCAAGTCCGGTGGGAGCAGTCTTAATGGGACTGAGCCTTTCGTCTGTGAGATATGACACTATCTCCAGATAGATAACGCTAGAATTGAATTAAATTGTAGGACACCCAGCTGGTGTCCAGCTTTCTTTTTGCTTCCTTTCCGATGCCTTCTGTTCTTGCTCCTACCTTGTTTATGATTGAGAACTTTGGTGGCCACTGTACCATTACTCTGAGAGTGGACCCTTCTTCGCCAGCAGACCCTGCTTGTGAGGGCCACGTCTTCCCTTCCAGGAGCCAAATCGGGCGGCAATGGGCCTGCGCCCTGACTCCTGTCTGCTTAATCTGCAGATTAATTTGCTGCCCATACTTTTTCCTGTCCTCACCTAATGTCCTGGTAGGATTTTAAAGACAGCACTGGTTATAATAAATTTTCAATAATTCATGAAAGAAAAAAGAGAATTGCTTAGTGTGAGGAAAATCCTTCACCTATTTGGTGACCCAAAGTGAAGTGTCTTGTGACAAAGAATAGGCGGAAAACACAACACAACTGGTGGGAAACTAGGTTTTCCTTTTTACAAACCTTCACTGGTTCTCCTCTTTATCAAGGATTAAGTTCCATGTTTTGCACTGCTATAAATCTAGGCATACCTCTATATCTTACTCAGTAATGAAACCAATTCTTATGATAATGATTTGTTAATATGATTTTGATTCTTTGCAACTGAAACTAAATAAGGCAACAATATTGTTGTCTCATGGGGGTAGATTATTTACTTTTAATATATAATTTCTAAACCTTCTGATACGCTATGTTCAGAAGATTTTAAAAGAGACAAATAATGAATATGCCATTTAAATTTTTTTTTCAAACTCCCCGTTCTACTTCATACATGGGAAATAAATTATGGTGTGAAAATCTTTTTAAAAACAATTCTGATTAAATGAGAATTTGTGCTTCTCTGCTCTCATTAAACAAGCAAACAACAAATTCAAGCAAAAGCAGATCTATAAGAGAAATCTATTAAATGGCTATCAGATTGCTAGCAAACTCTAATTGCCCACATATCCTAGACCAGACCTGTCCTATATCTGACAGAAGCTATCCCCATCTTCTGTTTTCTTCTCCAGCTAGCAGTACAAGTTCCATTTTGATTCCTAGCCAAGACTACTTCACCTGCAATGTTTAAACTAAGGTATTTCTCATCAACTGACTTCACAGATGGGGAAATGAAAACCCACAGAATTTCAAAATATTGCCTGAATGCAACAGCTGGTCAGAAATAGAATGGGATAAAGTCATTTAAAAGTCTCCTGTCTCCAAGAATACAATGATAATCTCTTACATTATACTGCTCCTCTGAAAGACTGGGCTGATTAAACAAAATGCATGCAGGTAGTTTGTAAAATGTTATTTACTACTTGTTTATACCCCTCCTGCTCCAAAAGGAAAAAAACAACTTTAAGAAAATTAACAATATATATTTAATAAGCATGAAAAAGTAATGCAGCTAAACTAGGTAGATAAAGAGAACAGGGCAGAAGGGAAATGATTGTAGGAAAATATAAGTAAGCCAGGAATGAGATTATTACAATGCAAGTAATAAGCACTTAGGCAGATTTTAGAGATGGGCCAAAATTTGGTTCTAAGCTTTTTTGCAGCTAATACAAAGAAGAAAATTAGTTAAATACATGACTTACAGCCTCATTCAAATAAAGATAAATTAATATTCAAGAAATCCACAAATATTCCTCATAATTAGGCAAACAAAAATTTATTTTGTTCTAATATTAGGAGATAACCTAAAATATAAAGGTGATGGATGGATAGGATGAGACAGGTACTAATCTCAATCAATAGATATTTTATTGAGGATTATGATGGGTCTGGATTGCCTAAGAAGCTTCATTAGTACACACATCACAGTTCTAACTCATCACTTTAGGCGGGTGTCTGGAACAGTATTTCCCTCATTGACTTCATAGTAGTAATAGAAATAAAATTTATCTCATCAAATACTGTCTATACACAGTTAGGCTTAGATCCTGCAAGGCTTCTTAAAGCCTTTAAAATGTCCAAAGTACATGGTAATTCACAAATTTAGGTGATTTGGCTTTAAAATTTCAGAAATTTATCAAAGAACTAGTACTCTATAGGAAAAAAAACCTGTGAAATCCTGTACTGAAAATCTAAATACCACCTTCCTCTTATCAGACTCTTGACATCTCATCTGGTGGGTTAAACTTTTCCTGTGTCAAACATAGTAAAATAAATGAAACGTAAGAAGTACTGTGATTAGACACCAATTAGTGATTGGTGGTCAGATATTATTAGTGATTGGTGGAAAAAGTAGAGCTGGAATTTCACTGGAGAAGTGGGAGTCTTTCATGTTAGCAGAAGAGGATATTTGAGTTCACTGTGTGTCATCTCTTTCACTGCAGCACATAATAAAACCAATTTCATATGATGTTTTCATGTGCAAAATAACATGGATAATCCCCCCAATGCTTTCCTTAATTCTTCAATATTTGGTTGAAATCCTTCATCATGATGTCTTCTCATAGCAACATCATTCCACTGTGCAATAAAATCCTGATGATTTCAGAGGATGCATATTTATAAAAGTCACCTGCAAAATGTTTGCTTTCTCTCTGTGTCTAGAAAACAGATTTTCTATCCTCTGGAGATCACAATTATTTGTCTTGCCCATGATAGACAATATAGTTTTCTTAATTTGATTTAATGATATTACACGATTGATTTGATTTTATAAAAAGTTTCCTTGATGCTAAAAGATAAATAAAAGACTATAGATGGCATCCCATTTTGAGGGCAAAAATAGTTGTGACGTTTTTCTATCTAAATATGCTTTTAATTACAATTAGTTTCTATCTTTTAACAAAAAAACTTGAACAAGTCATTTTTAATTGACAATATGGGCTACTTTGTAACAGTAATTGCTAACATGGATTGAGCTTACCACATAGCAGACCCATGTTATTTTATGTAATTCTTGCAAAGACGTTACGAGATGCTGCAGGGCTGATTGCTCAGAAGGAGAAGCAGCACCACGGAGAATTTGAGGGACTCGGCATGGTTACATAGTCAGAAAGGGTAGAGTCAGGGTTCAGATCTCAAGTCTGATTTCAAGTACTCTCTTAGGCCACTTGGCCACTATAGCAAAATGTCTTGGAGCCCTATAAGCAATAAACATTTATTTCTCCTAATTCTGAAGGCTGAGAAGTTCAAGATCATGGAGCTGGCAGATTCAGTGTCTGGTGAGAGCCTGATTTGCATGTGGCAGCAGGGACTAGGCCTCCTTAATAAAATACTTTTCCTCTTCATGAGGGCAGAGCCTCATGACCTAATCACCTCTCAAAAACCCGAACTTCTAATACCATCACTTTGGAAGTTAAGATGTCAACATATGAATTTGCAGGGGTTGGGTGGGGAGAGGTACAAACTCTCCATTGTAAACACTATGCTCTTTGTACTGGTTTGCTGCCTTCCAATAATAAAGTAACTGTGTCTTCTAAATGAGCTTATTATCTTGATATTTGTTCAAACTGGTTGACAAAGTATCAACAACCTGGTGAACTATAATAACTGAAAGTAGGAAAACCACAAAATGTAAGAGGAAGAAATTCTATAAGAACAAACAGAAAAATAATGGCAACTCCAAAAAT